TTCTCGATATAAAGGGGAATGGCCACCATGCGTGGAACCGTTTTGAATGGGATGAGACCTGGAAGCTGAAATATAGTGTCTAATAATGTAGGGTCTATTTATTTTTTTGTTTTTTTAATCTGGTCTGTGCTTCCAGATGAAATTTTCTACCGCCTTTTACGTAGTTTTCATGTTCACTGAGTATACTGCATACCTGAGCCTCATCGAAAATTGTTAACGTATTTCTATAGGATCACTCAAGTTTATACCCCAATTACATAATATTTTCAACGATAAGATCAATTATTAATAGGAATACGTTTAAATAATATGTATACGCTTGCGCTGATGTCAACTAATTACCATATTACTTAAATTAATATATAGATGAAAAATATAAAATAAACGGGAGTGATTCTAACTTAGATGTATGGAATTACGTTTTTCGTTAAGCATATAAGCTCATCCATATTGCGTTTACCCTTTATTATACACAGTAATCCCTCCTCCATGGTCATACATTACATTCACCCAGGCGTCTCCCTTACCCAGGGCCGGCCTGCCCGGCTCCCTACCAAAGGCTTCCCGGCCTGGAAGATCTGGGCTGCCTGCGGGAAGACAACTCCCCGAAGAGCTGGAGTGATGCCAGGGCGTCCTGTGTGGCGCTGGGCGGGGATCTCGCTGTCATGAGGACGTCGCAGGACTTCTTCCGTCTCCGGAGTTACTATGCTGCTCAGAGTGCGGGTTAGTTTGCCGGAATCAGTTGGTGTGCTTGTGATAGGATCTTAAAATATCTTCTCTACATCAAAAATAGTTTCAGCGTCTTTTCTATAATGGGTAAATCACTTTCTGACAGATATAATATATATACTCCATGGGATGTGTAAGAAGGAACAAAGCTGTGACAAATTTAGAAAAAAAGTACTTAAGGTAAGAAATTGAGACATCAATGATACATAACGGCAGTAACCGGGGATCCAACTGTGGTGACAGCAACATGGGTAAACTGAAACTTATCGGGACTAGAAAACGTTCAGAGGCTTCAGATATTTGGCATTAAGCTTTAACATTAGTTTTCCTTCATTAACCCTAATATACTTCAAACACCTACATATCAACCAATCTTTGCTCATGAAGTTTAATCACAATCCGTCAGTATTTTTTTCGTATTCCCGTGACAAAGGCGGAGGTTAGAAGATAATTTCATGATTGACTATAAAAAGGAGATAGCCATTAGCGTTCATAAGCAATTAGTCACCTCGGAAAGATGCTTTAAGATCTACAAGGTGGAGCACAAATTGCCATAGAGATATTTTGCAAACATCAGGACACATCGTCAAAGTGTCAAGCTAAAATAACATTTTTATTAACCTATTACTTGTACAGTCGTGGTCAAAAATTTGTGTCGAGCATGTTTCGAATGCCGTTTCGAACCGCTTAATACCACACCTTTTTTATAGGTAAGACAGATTCGAAACTTCGTTAAAGGACTTTTTGTCCGCCACTGAACCTCACCATATATCATCCTTGCCATTTAACATAATTTACCAATGCTAACTAGGATCACCTTTCCCTCTCTGTCCGCAGTGACTGGGCTCTGGGTTGGCGTATACTCGGAGATGTGGCTCAATGGAAGAACTCCTGAACCGGGCGAATGGTTCGACGGAGAACCCAATGGATCAGGGCCTTGTGTGGACATGAGACTCAGTAGCTTCATCGGAACACTTTACAATTTTTATCTCTCTGACAACATATGCTCAAATGTGCACGGTTTCCTTTGCCAGCTGCTGTAAGTTAATTGAGAAAGGATGTTCCGAATTCATCGGGCAAGATGTTAGGTAATTTTCCCGAGCACAGATTTGTCTGCGTTTTGCTTCTTTTTTATTTTAAGCTCTAGTAAGTTTCAGTAAATGACTGATGTGAGGCACTTTCTTCTTTGTTGCAGTGGAAATGTCATTAAGAATTAAAGACACCTAAACCATTATCTGCCGATGTACATAATTACCTCCGCCGAGGTTATGCTTTTGCTAGCGTTGGTTAGTTTGTTACTTTGTTTTTTAGTTTGAAGGATAACTCAAAAAGCTGTGATTTTTTGTTTTTAATATACCAGAGGTGTGCCTTAGCCCAACTTCGATGCCATTGAATATTAGTGGTGATCTGGTTCATGATCCGGATACAGGAACTTTTTAATGATTGCATGTTAATTATTATTATCATCATTACCTATATCACCGCCGCCAAGGAGGTTATGTTTACGGACGTCACCGATGTCCTTGAAAAAGATTAGATTTTAATATAATTCTTCTAGTGTGAATATTTTTATTGCATCAGTGATCCTATTGCCTTGGCGGAGGTATGCGCTCTATGAGTGCTTCTAGTTAAAAAAGAAGTATATATTTACTCAAAATTCATGTGTCACATTTTTTTACTTCCTGTTACGAAAATCGCATAACGAAACAAAATAATTCATACCTAGTATGAAATATTTCCCTTTCCTAACAGATGAATAACGTTTTATACCGAAAATAACCGAACAATATTTGATTTGTTAACATATTTTTGTGACGTTAAAATCTGATGGGAAACATCTAAATTTGCAAATGATTTCATATCCCCTTTAGATGCTTATGGTCACGTACACAATAACTTATAAGGATGCTTATGTACTACTTATCAGTAAACTTTATATAACTCACAGGGTAATTGACCATATCCATATATAGAACTATGACGCATCTAAAAGTAATGCGTCATAATTTAAAAGGTAGTAAAAATGATAGCAACTATGATTATAAGAATAAGAAGAATGATTGCAACAGCTGTAGTAATGATGATGGTGCTAATGGTATTAATGACAATGATAATACTAATGATAATCATAGTGATAGTAATAATCATCACCATCATCATCATCATTGTGAGGATAATAATGATAACGACATTATTGATGATTTTGATAAAATTATATAGATGGTTGCAATAAGAATGGTGATAGTGGTGATAATATTGACAACAATGATAATAGTAATAATAATGATAATAATAGTAATAATAACAATAATAATGATAATAGTAATAATGATAATAATTGATGGTAACAATATTGATGATACTAATATTAGTGATAATAATAATGATAACAGTAACTATGATAATGATAAATTATAATAATGATAAGAAAAATTATAATGATATTAGTAACAATGATGGTCAGGATAATGATAACGACAATAATAATAACAATGATAATGATGATGATAGAGATGATAATGATAATGATAATTATCATAGTAATAAAATAATGTAGAAAATGACAATGACAATTATTATGGTAATAGTGATAATTATTATAGTAATGTTAAAGGTAATATAGTAATGAAAATGATAATAAATGCGATGATAATATTAATATTATGATAATAGTAATAATAATGATAATGATCGTGATGATAATAGTAATGGTAATGATTATAACAGTAACCACAATGACGATAATAATAATAGTTACAACAGTAAAGGGAATGATAGCAGTAGTAATAAGAATAAGGATAATGATAATGGCAGTAGTAGTATATCAGCTATAACAACAACAAAACAAGCAACGATGATGCCAACAAAGATAATACTTATGATAACGAAGATGAAAACAATAGCAGTGATACTAATAATAAGTGATAACAATAGAAAAAAAGACCTAATCAGTTGACAAAAAGACCAAAGAAAATGTTGATTGCCACAGCCGATAAGAAAGGAAAAAAGAGTTAAATGCCAATCTAGTATGGTAGAAGGTCATCCAAAGAACCCCTGGATGTTGGGAGAAATCTTACAAAAACTAGGTCTATCTAGTTTGATCAGGAAAATCTGTTGGCTGTTGAAATTTTCTTTTTTGGTTGGGAGGGGGGGGGGTCGTCCAGGATGGTTGGTGAATAATTGAAGGCAATCGAATAAGTGGCGATAATATGATGACAAGAACTATCTCTACAACAATAAATACTACTATTACTACTACTGCTACTACTACAACAACTGTTACTATTGCTATTACTACCACTACGTTGACTATTGCTACAATTGCAATAATAACAACTACTACTGCTGCTGCTACTACAACTACTACTATTACTATAACTTCTACTACTATTATTATTGTTAGTACAACAACTACTACTACTATTACAACTACTACCACTGCAAACACAACACTACTACTATTGTTACTACTACCACAACTACTACTACTACTATTACTACTACTACTACAACCACTAGTATTATTATTACTACTACTATTACAACTACTACCACTACAAACACTACTACTATTACTACTACTACTACAACTACTACTACTGCTATTACAACTACTACTAGTTATTAAAATTGCTACTACAACTACTACTACTACCACTACAACTACTACCACTTACTACTACTACTACTGTTACTAAAATTACTACTACTGTTATTACTACTACTACTACTACTAATATTGCTACTACTGCTGATGTTGATACTAAAGCTAGTAATGATAATTTTGATGATTATGATATTAATAATGATGATAATAATAATAATAATAATGATGTTAATAATGATGATAATACTAATGATAATAATAATGATAATGATAATGATAACAGTAACAATTAACAATAATATGATATGATAATAATGGTGATGATGATAATGATAACTAATATAATGATGAAAATTATATAATAATGATAAAATAATGATGATAATGATAATAGTGATAATAATAAGAGTAAGAACAGAAATTATGATAACGATAATGATAGTATTAATAAAAGTAATAATGACAATAATGATAAAAATGATGATAATGACAGTAATGGTATCAGTAATGACAGTAATAATAATAGTAATGAAGATAATAATGATGATAATAGTAATTAAAACAACAGCAAAATCAATGATGATGATAATGATAATAATGATGATAATAATGATAATGATAATGATAATAATAATAATAGTAATAATAATAGTGATAATGATAATGATGATGGTGATAATGATAATGATACCAATAATAGTGATAATGATAATAACAATGATAATAATATAATGATAATAATAGTAATAATAATAGTGATAATGATAATAATGATGAGGATAATGATAGTAATAATAATGATACTGAAAACAATCAGTCAAATATTAATAAAATGATAAAAACAACAATGATAATGATATTGGTAATGATGACCACAGCAATGATGATTATAATAAAAATAATAATGATAATAATAATGATAATAGTAACAATAATGATACTACTACTACTACCAGTGATAATTGAGATGATTATATCACAAATATCATAATGATAAAGATGAAGATAGTATTGCTAATGAAAATAAATATGATGATACTGGTAATAATGCTGGTCAAAATAATGATAATCATCATGAAATAATAATGATTATGATAATAATAATATTGAAAAGAATAGATGACAGTGATAGTAATAATAGCGTCAATGATAATGCTAACAACTACAACAACAATGATAGTGATAATAACAACAATAATGAAAATGATAATAATAATGATAATGATGATAGCAATAACAATAACAACAATAATGCTAACGTTAATGATGATGATAATGGCGATAAAAATAAAGATAAAGATGATAAAAATATTAGTAATAATAATGATAATATGAAATACAACAATAATGGTAATGATAATGAGAATAATAATAATGATAATAATGATAATAATAATGATGATAATGACGATGATAAGGATAATAACAAAATGGTGCTGATGATAGTAATTAGAGTAATGATAACACTGTTCATAATGATAATAATGATAACAATGATGATAATAATGATGATGCTAATGATATTAATAATAGTAAAAATGATTATAATGATAGTAATGATAAATATAATACTAATTATCATTTTAATGATAATAATGATGATGATGATGATGATGATGATGATAATGATAATAATGATTATAATTATATTGATACTGATGATGATGATGATGACGATAATAATTTAAAAAGATAATAATAACAGTGAAGATAATGATAGTCATTATAATAATTACTATGCTAATAATGCCAATGCTGAGTAGTAATGATAATGGTGATGATAATAATGATAATAATAATAATGATGATAGAAATTATAACAATAATGACAGTAATAATCATAATGTTAATGATAATGACGATAATAGTAATGATGATAATAATGACGAAAATCATAATGATGCTACTAATACTAATAACAATAATGACATTATTGCTATGATAACATTCTTATAATAACAATAATGATAATATTAAGGATGATAATAATATCAATAAAAATGGTGATGGTAACGAAGGTAATAATAATGGTGATAAAAGTACTGATGATGGTAATGCTAATTATAATAATGTTGATGATAATATAATATCGATGATAATAATGATGATCAAGATGATCATAACAAAAATTATAATGTTAACAATATTAACAATTCCATTGGAAATAATTATAATTTTAATAGTAACGACAACGACAACAGCAACAATGATGATAATAATAATGATAATAGGAATAAAAAAAATAATGATAAGATGATATCAAGAACAATGGTGATAATCATGATAATGATAACAATAATAATAATAATAATAATAATAAGTATTATTATTATTATGATAGTGATGATAATAATGATGATAATAATAATGATAATGATGCTCATAATAATAATAATGGTAATACTAGTAATGATAATAATAGATATAATGATAAGGATAATGGTAATAATGATGATAATAGTAATGATAATAATAATGATTATGATGATTATACTATTAGTACTGCTACTAATAATAAGGACATTAATACTAATGAAAATGAAAATGATAATAGTATCATTGTTATCATTTATATGATTATTACTATTATCATTATAATTTTTGTTATCATTATCATCATCATTATCATGATTGTGATTATTGTTAAATAATTTCTATTATTATTGTTATTATCATTATCATCATCATTATCATTAGTAAGATTATGATGATCCTTTTACTATATTTTGTCATTATTGTTATTATCTTTACTATCATTAATACCATTACCATTGGTACTGTTATTATTACTATCACTATCATAACTATTAGCATCATTATCATTATTATCTTTATCATAATCATTATCTTTATTACTATTATCATTATCATCATTATCATTGTTATCATCATCATTATCATCATCATCATC